TGATTAAACAAGTTTACTTAATTTACGAAAATTATTTACGAACTGAAGCACCACCTACTAGACAGTTTAGAGCATTATCTTAACTAATTAGATTATGCATTATCTATGCAATGAATCACATATTATGTGTGTAATGAATCCTAATGAAGATTAAAGGAAAATCTCATTACTTCAAATTGTTGTTCTGGGACAAGGTTTCTAAGAAATCTGTTAAATCTTTCTTGAACACATGGATATGAATAAAAGGTCAGATCTTGGACTGACAAATCCGCATTTTGCTGTACCAGCTGCACATAAAGGGCACAGAGCTACTTCAAAGCATTAAATATTCCTCCTAGTCTAGAGGAATGTTGTGATGCTCTCAGGACAGAATGGATTCAGCATTGAGGCAGATAGGTAGATCAGCTCCTGCAGACTTCCACAACTGCAACTGAGAGAAGCTTTGAGACTTGATTCTGTTAAGAACATTTTCAGGATTTTAAATTGCTCTTTTTCAGTTCACATTTTACTGGTTCTCAACGCACATTGCATTTGAGTTTCTCCGTATCCAAGGAGTCAGATAACAAGTTAACATACGCTTCACAATAAGTCTGACTTAACATGTTTTTGTTTTCCTGTTGTCTACAATTCCTGTTGTCTACAAACCAAGCATGTATCTGGTCTGCATCTTTAAGTGAGGTAGTGGGCTGTCATTGCTCTCTCCACATACCTGAAGTGGCTGCTCACCCACTCTGAAAGTTCAGCATGTATATTAGGGCATTAGGGAGTCAGGAAAATATCAGGGCATTAGGGAATCAGGAAAAGTATATCTGACTGAAAAATAGTCAAAGATAACTCTAAACTCTCACTCAGCACTGTACTGTCAATCTAGCTGGATTCCGCTGTTTCTGCATGTCCAGATTTCCCATTAATTACACATCAGCAGGGGTTTTGCATAAAATGATGTGGTCAAAGAAATTTTCAATTACTAAGGGAAAGCAGAGTATCATGGTCTACCTCTATCATGCAGGGAGGAAAACTTTGCCCCTGCTGATTAGATACAGCAGTTGACAACAGATGTTATTTGTTAATTATTGACATATCCAAAGGGTCCTATGGCTTGACAGAATGCTGAACAGATACATTATTTACTTTGTTGTATCTCATCATGGAACATATGGTGGCAGTTTGATGGAGTACAGATATCTTCTTTGTGTCTATTCCTACACTGAAGTCCAAACTCCTTTTTTCTTTGCTTCTTGCTGTGTCAGGAAGTGTGCTTTCTTTTGTTTTCCTTTTTTCTAGTATCCAATTACCCTCTATTTTCTGATACAGTAAAACTGCTTAGAGGTACTAATGTATCATTTGCCAATTCACACTTTACTTTCACCCTTAAAAAATACCAACCAGATGGTTTCAAAAAAATGCCAATTATGTCTAATATATTGTTTGAAATTAAAGTACCACTGCAAAATGCCTCACATGTTATTAACTGCTTGAAGCTATACGTAGCACTTTGGATGCACGAAAAACTGCGTATTCCATCACTGTATTAAATAGAAGTCTACTGAGAATTTGAGCTGCTTCAAGATAAATTTGAGTGAATAGCTAAATTGTATGCTACAAATTATTAATGTGTATCTAATGCTTAGATCTGAAAAGCAGCTCCTTCAAATAGTTCAGCAGCTTAAAGAGCACAGTAAAAAGGACATACTGATTCTTTGTTTAGTCTTACAGTTAAGAAGTAGACTTGCTTGTGTACATCAATAGAGACAAGATACATATTTCTGATGACAAAAGTTTGAAGTGTTATCTGCTGTAACTTGTCAACAGAAAGGTACTTAACTATATTAAGTGATATTTAATTTCCTACCTATCTATAAGCCCACATTCCCACTTTAGAAGGAACCTGGGAATCTCCACTACTGAAAATTCATTTTCTTGTAACACACAAAATTAGGAACCTTAATATTCTAAATTAGTTTCCTACTAGAAATTGAGATGTTGAAACTGTCACTGAACTTCACACACATGCGAAAGATTTAATTCATGGATGAATTAGCACTTGGAAAAAGTATGTAACCAAGGGAGTAAAGAAGAGTTATTTTAAAAATTATATAACAACTTATAATAAATTGTTTATAATGCACATTATAATTTATAAAAATACACAATTATGTAATAATATGTAATAAAATTTACTATTACATTGATTTAACTCTTTTCTTGCTAAATTCTCTCAACCAGTATTTTTCATAAAGTGAAGCTATATAATATGAAGGTGAAGTCTATTTTACTTTAACAGTAATTCCAAAAGAAAGGCCTTGTATTTGACAACTCTGGCAGATGTGAGTTCAATTTGCTATAAAGAAGCACATCTCATGCAAAGCTGATGACTTAGGACTCAGACACTGAGGAAAACAAAGCCTTCTTGTACCTCACCTGCATAAAAAAAAAAACAGATAGCACCAGGAATAAAATGAACTATGAAAATACTCTTCAAAGAAAAAATGAACTAGTGACAGTCAGATGAAGCACTCTGTAAAGAGAAATTCACTGGGCATACGAGTTATAGAAAACTGGGGATGGACAGGTCTTTCTGATCCAACAAAAACTCCCAAAATATCACAAGCTCAACAGAAGAAGGTGTAAAGAGCAAAAGTCCCAAGAGCACAAGTAAGAGTACATATAGCTTCACAGACAATGAAAAAGCACAAGCCACTGCATGCCTGGCGCTTGGGAAACAAGCAAAAAAAAAAAAAACACACACAGAAAGCTCAGAGGCTCACGCTACTCTGTAAGAGACACCACCGTGTGCACACAGCTGGGGAAGAGCATAATGGGCTGCTCAGAAGAAAGCTAGATGGGACGAAATCTAATGTGCAATTAATTAATGGCCTAAGTTAATGTAAATTAAAATACTGGGAATTTTTTTTTTTTAAAACGTTGAAAATAGCAGGAGTATTCTATTGGTAGTAAAAAGAAAGTTTTAATCATCCTACTTCAGAACCACACACAACAAATTCTTACTAGCATCCAGATAAAAAAAAATGCAAGAAAAATTCAGAAAATGAGCATGACAAACACACAGACATGCCATCGTTTGCACAATTACTTATAACATAAAATCAAGCATAACTGATATTTTTTTTATATTGTAAGTCATCTATTATTTTAATATTTGAAAGAGAGCAAGTTTACTTACAGTATTTATTAGTTAGAAAGTCATTGAGAAAGACTGAAGAGCAGTAGCAAGAATCTTATTTTAAACATTATCTTGAAATAATCTTTGATCTTTTCTTCTGGCAGATCTTGTCTGCAAAGCTTTCTCCTCATTTCCTTAAAATTTCTGGGGGGAAAAAAAGCAGGAAATCCTGTGTGGGTCTTTTCCTGAAAAGAGAAAATCCTTAAAATCTGTAGGCCCATATAGAAATACCAAGGCAGTGCAAGTCCCCATATGCAACCTAATCTTCACCTGGAAAGGTGAAGATTCCTTTTGTGGAAAAATTAGCAGAACCTTTAAATTATTTTGCTCTTTCTGGAATTTTGAAAGCAGTAATTAAGCAGCAGTATCCCACCATCAGGACAGTAACAGTTAAATTCATCTAGACGCTGGTTTTGCCACAGGCCTACAAGGGTTTTTACATAAACTCTCTTCTTTCCAGGCTTCTCTGGCCCAGGTTTCTGAATCTACAACATGGCACTAGTTGCCTTTCTCCTGATGATCAGACTTTACTCTTCCCACAGCAGCAAAAAAGCTCAGATGTTGTTAGACCAGAAAATAAAGCTCAAGTGGCCAAGAAACACTTTTTTAGAACTGAGCCTTGTTCCACAGGGCTGAAATTCTGTACATCCTGGCACAGTGAGGACTTTAACTTCTTATAGCCCAAAGACAAGCACCTGTCAATAACCTGGAGCTGTCTGTGGTCTGGTACACCTCAAGCAGACAGAAACTGAAGAATATGGCTTCAAGCTATTTGTTACAACTTCATAAGTATAATTTTGCCTAAGATCTTAAATAATTGAGATACAAAAAGCTTATACTCCATAATTATTAGTAGCTATTATTAGTACTGGCAGTATTCTAGAAGTCTCATCCACATTTGCTTAGAAACAAGAAAATCCTACAGATTGTAAAGACAATTTCAAATAAAGTTCTGTTATCTAGCTCCTATAAAGATACCTCGACTACCACAGTTTTAAAAGATGTGGATGCCTAAACATCATTATGAGTTTTACAGTAAGTGTCTGTACAACTTTTTTTTTTCTTTTAAAAGATGAGCAGTTCAACTAATTAGATCTCTGTATAACAGTTGTGTCTTGAAAATTTTTAATTGAATTAATCAGCAAACTGTTCTGTGAGTACTAGAATCAACCAACACTACATCTTTTTAAATTACAGCTTTGTTTGTTAGCTGGAAATTGATTAAATGTATACCAGGGCTTCAATTTAAAACTTTCCTCTTCAACGAAGCATCCAAATCCAGCAGCTCATTTTCACGTGATATGGAAGCATCCAGTCATTAACTGTATATGAAAGTGTCAGTCTGAATAGCCAAATACATCAAATCTCAATAAAAAAGAAAACATTCAAGAAAAAAAACTTGTAACATAGTTTTCCTTTCTGTTTTACAGAATGTTCTATATATGTGATTATAAACTGAAATATTCCAGATTTCTGTCAATAAATACGGCTTCTTGTAAGACGATATAAGATTATTTAACAAATTAAAGTCTGACATCTATGTACATCATTCTAGAAACTCATTGAAAAAATGAACAAATCACAGAATCATTTACGAGACAGCTGAAAAGACCAAATAAGGTATAAACATACTCTATTTCAAATGTGAAAAGATGTTATTTTTTATTTTTGTCCTTGTAAAGTAGTATATTTCAACCAGATTACAACAAAGTTACCACAGGATATTTAAAAAAAATACAAGAAAGTATTTAGAAAATTATATATGTACATTTGCTTAAAAATTCTATAATGTAAACATTAGCATAACAAGATAAAATAATATTACAAACCATTTATTAATACTTAGGTGAATACTGTACATATATATGCTTTAGAATTAATACAATTTTTCTTACAGTTTAAAAGGAACAAAAAAAAAAAAATTCCCCAAAATCAAAAGGGAAATCCAGCTTCTTTACTTGCCAGCAGGTTTGGTCCCACATACAAGATACTTAATTGTTTATCTCAGTGTTCAGGAAGAAAGAAAATGCAGCTTTTCAGAATTAGATATTCAACCAAATTTGCATTTCTGTAATTTTTAGTGTCCTGAATAGCTAACACTTTTCTCAAGAAACCAACTACCACAGTCTAACTTCTGTCATGACACAGACAGCAGTTCTGAAACCTTGTTAAGCAAACTGATTCCTCCTACATGGAATTGCAATACATTTGTTTAGATGGAAAAAAAAGTATTTTTTAAGTCCTGATATTTGCAGCAATTTGTAAATATGGAAATTCATTCCTCTCTAAACATTTCAATGGTGTTTTCTATGCCATTATTAACCAAAAAGTAAGCTACTATCATTAATTAGAAGTATGCTCTGATTATCTATGTTATCTATAATTGGACAGAATAAATAAAAGTACAATTAGTGCAGAGTAGGAAATAAATGAAATGTACAGTATCAGACCACTGTGTAGAGAAAGTTTTTATCTTCCATTCAATATGTGAAACACCAAGCAGCTTAACTGATATTTCTATATTTCATATATATATAATTTCGTACATCAAAGTTATTCTTTCAATACATAATGCTAAGAAACTACAGAAATGGCTACATATTCATCAAATTAATATTCCATGTAGTGATACAAGGTGTTGACTGAAATATCCTAACCTACAGAAATTGAAGGAGAAAAATCTTTACTCTCTTGAGTTGTTTAACCACTTTTCCAGAAGTGACATAAGCTCCAATACAGAAATATTGTTGTTTCCAAGGAGAAAAATGTGTTTGCAAAAAAGAAAAAAAATCTTCCTCTTTCTTTTAAACTGCTGTTCCACAGGCTTTTCTTGGGAATTATAAGCAGGTAACTGTATTTCTATCCACAGGTACAGATTATCTGTCCTCAGAATTACAAAATATTCTTGTAATTCTCCACAAGTGTGGAAGGGGGTAGGCTGAACATTTGAAATGGCAAGAAATTTATAGCAGAACTATGATTCCTGCCTGTTTTGAATCAAAGAGAACAACATCCATGTCTGAAAGCACTAATAACTGATTCTGTTAACAAAATATCATTTTTTAAATCATTAGTATGTCCTGACAGACAGTATCAGTAGTTCACGTGGGGCTTACTGAGTCTCATTTATTATTAGCTTGCTGCTCTGAGACAGTCAACCCCATTTATTAGCAGGTTCTTATTAATTAATTTGTCAGCTACCATGCAGATATCGCTCTATACAATAAAACATTTTGTAATACAAAAAAAATGTACCTTAGCAATGGGTCACAATTTTGAACCAATTATCTTTAATACTGTTATGTCCTTTCTCTAAATACTTGTATTAATCCAGTCACGAAGGTTTATGACTTGTAGTAGGTTCTGTAAGATAGTATATATATAATCTGATTACAACTATCACATCAACAACATATTCCATAAAAAAGACTGGCTTTGAAATTATTAATCTTCCTAAGATGTGATTTAATGGACATATCAATTTAAGCCTTTATAACTATGCCAATATCCTGCCTCATATAAACCTTGGAAATTTATTATAATTACTGAGAAACTTGATTTAATGCAAAAGCAAAGCCAATACAATGCATTCTCTATTATAAATGATAAAATCTCTAAATAGATGAGGTTCTCAAAAAACACAGTTAAAAATTATTTAATTTATACTAATACTGATAGACAATCACATCTGCAAAAGATGCAAGTCTTGCCTGACATGTATTTCTTAGGAAATTGTTCATTTTGCATGTGATAAGAGAACAGCATTAAAACTAAAAAGTAATGCCATTTATTTTCACAATTTATTTTGAATAGTCATTAAAGAATCCAGATGACCAGTATGTCTAAATATAAAACAGAACTGAAATGGAAATGATACTGCAAGTTTCTCCACACTGCCTCATACCATGCTGTAGTCCAAGGCTTGCAGGAACAACAGGGATCAGATTGGCCTGAGCCCTCTATTCTGTGATTATGGAGATGTTCAAGAACTGGTTGCACCCATCAACTCACTGTGCATAAGCCGTAGAGCGGATATAAAGATTTAAGAGCTCTCAGATAGTACAAAAATAAAAAATAAATGAGATGTACAAAAATGGTAACTAAATGCATGGCATTAGGTGACACAGGAGGAAGTGGTATGATCACTCAATTGGTAGAATCATTGCTACAGTTACAGGTATTTTATAAAAGCAATATATCCATCCTAGGATTCTTAATAACAGCTGGTCATCCTTCGTCAACAGACTTCCCTGATTTTGTAAATAAATGAAAAAGTGGAACATGTGACAGAGAATTACAATTCTCAGAAAGACAGGGCATTTTAGAATGTCCTGAGGTGCTAAAAATGTGGGCATTCACATATGTTGACAGATATCAACACCTATCTCCTTGCAGTCATGCAAGCACCTTACTTCAGAAGTAACCAGGTGAATAGGGAAAGCTGACTTGTGAAGAAAGGCTTAATTTAATTAGCTTCTGAGAAAATGGATTAGTAATGCACCCACTACCCTACCTTGTATCACAAGGCAAACATTGCAGACTGTAATCTTAGGAGCTGATACACAATTCAGGTAAAGTTAATAAAGAACAATTTGTACACAGTAAACAAGCTTAGTATTTTCGTGTGATCTACATACATACATTAGAAAATAAAAGAAACAAAATAATGAGGAATGAAATAAGAGCCAAACTAAAAAAAAAAATAGTAATAATTTAGGCTATGCTAATTGAGAATTCTTACCATTTGCAACTTTCTGAATAAGGAATCCTTTAATTTGTGACTTATTTCCTGAAAATGAATACAGCCTCACATGACAAACAGATAAATCACAAAGCATACCACACTACGATTTCTTTCAGATTTACTTGCAATTCAGTGTTAATAGATGTGTCATATTTCTACTAAACAAGGCTCTATTTTCTGAAAAGTTAATTTAAAATTGTTTCCAAGTGGGACCATCATTACAGCTACTTTTCCTTCCAACGAAGGCAAACTTTAATGTGTCAGCAGTGTATCAGACTGAAGAGTTTGGAGAGGTGTTAGCTGACTAGATACACACTTTCCATCCTTCTTCAATAAATGTGTTGTTTTAGTTTACACAAAACACCAATAATTATTTACCTTTTAATAAAAATAAATAAATAAATAAAAATGGCTAGCTCCCAAGCTGCCCTTTTGGATTCTGAATTTTGTACCAGCCCACAGACACTACTTGCTGTATGTAATGAATCCCTACTTGAGAAGTGTCGCAAAACGACTGGACCATGCTTGGCTAAAGAATACACAATGGTCACAGGTCTGAAAAGCAGAAGTTCCAGTTTGCCAGAACTTTGATAGAGCACTGATGTAAAGAGTTTATTAATCATCAGTTGTTGTTGGGGTGGCTTTTTTTTTCTCTTGCAGGGTAACATGAGATTTCATGATCTACTGATGGGAGAATTTAATAAAATTAACAGATAATAAAATGACAAGATACACCATGTTAATGCTCTCCAAAAGAAAAACTTCTGAGAAGAAAGATATTCTTACACAACGGAAAACCAGAATACAATTGATAGAAAATTTCAGTGTGCACTGCTTAAACTTAATGAAGAAAGGAAGATAGCTGACACATAATTAACTGCCTGTGGCAGTACAGCTAATGGATGCTGAACTGGATTCCAGTTAATCCATGTCAGGACTTCCATCACTTGTAATAATTCTTGTCAATTTTTTTTTTTCAGTTACTCTTGCAGCAGTACCATCACAGATTACTGTTCAGCGAGAGGTGATGGGTAACAGGCACTTTCATTACAGGCAATTCTTAATTATCACTATGTGAAGGATTTTTAAAAAGAGTAAGAATTCCAGCTGCCCAGTTAATGATGAAGGACTGTTCTGTAGCATCAGTGACAAATTAATAATAAAATATAACCCAAGACTTGAAAACACTTTTGTATCATGCTGATTTTGTATATACTTGTGGTGGTTTGTAGAAATTAATAATATTGCACCCAGCCTTATAGCAAGACTGAAATTTCACTAAGAATTATTACATTCTCTGATTTTAAAGAATTACTTCCCACAAATGAAAGCTATTGAGAACACCTAACTAGAAACATAGAAAAGCTATTTTTACACCTGTACTGTTTTTCCCTTGTCACCTACTTTGTCAAGTTTTTTTAAAAAAACTTTTGTGTGTATCAGAGGTTTACAATAATAATTAAAAAAAAGTATTTCTATTTACAAAAGGTAATAAATTAGTGAGGTTCTTTCAAGCACATCTTTCTGACATATTAAGTAGTAATAATCATAACTGTTCTTTAAGGAAAATAAATTGTGGTGACACGATACCCATGTCTGGACCAGAAAAATGTACATGTAGAAAGTGAGACAAAACAATACAAACAAGGAATTCAGAAGAATGTAACTTCAGAAGAACAAAGGAGAATATGTGCAATGCAGCTTCAGAAAACAAATAAAATGCCTATCTGTTTGCTGAGCCCCAGTGAAGAGCTCTTGCATTCCTTTTGAGAAAGTGATTACTGCCTTCCAAAGTATTTAATCAGGATATGACCCTTAGTTATGAATGTCTCCTTTCAGGATTTAAGTTGATGCAGCTGTAGTCTCTTCAGGAGCTTAAATTATAAATATAAGCTAGGAAGGAATCACAGAGCAACTTAAAGTACATGGTTCCAGCATTCACAATTACGAAAAAGGGTCAAAGATCACCACTCTGAGGTTCCAGGCTTCGGGGCTCTCTTTGATGGCTGCGAGACAGTTTAGGGAAACGGGTAGTCACTCTCGAGCGGTTGATTTTGCTTACTGGTTCTCCAGAAGGTGGAATGTCACTAGGAAGAAAAGAAAAAGACAGAAGTAACTAGTTTATGTTATATGCAAACTATTAAGTCGTTACTCTCAACATGAAAAAAGCAGATGTTATGAGAGCCTGGCACATGACTGCAAAGTACAGCACACATCTTCAACTACACAGAATTGCATTCTTTCTACTGGTATCTCAAGTGTGAATTACAAATGAGCTCTTTCAGAAATGAGAACTAGTAGAACTTTCAATACTTTATGGAAGACTGCAAATTACAGGATAAAAGCGTATCTCTATGGGTTGCAGTTCAGAAATGGTGGTATAAGCATTTTGAAGTGATAAAAGTACAAGCAAAATAGACAAGAGCTTGCATGATGCTCTACTTAACAATCCTCTAATTATGGATGGATGTATCATCACGTGATGAAGTGTATTAGCAATACATCCCTGTTGGGAATTCTTCAGTCTCTTCTGACCCACAACAGACTATAGTCTTAGATGAATGAGCCTTTTTGAAAAGGCTCTGAGAAGAAATACATTAAGTTCAACAACAAGCAGTAACAGAAAATTCCAGCTTACCTAGGTGATATTCAGAGGCTATAGACTCCTCGGAAAACTACAGTATAAAGGGATAGCATTGTACTTTTGCCATTCTCTTAGAGGACTCCACATGGTTTTTAATTATGCTTCTTAAGTACAGATCAATAAATAAAACTAAATTTTGCATATTGCAACTCAGCTAGGCAATAAAATTACACAGCATACAAAGTCAAATGTACTTTTATAATTAAAAAAAAATGTAATAACTATCTTCAGAGTGAGTTAATAACAAGTCAATAGTGGAAGAATCTGCAGTTCTTGCCATATTAAATAAATACACATATATGATATATGTATATATTTAAAATCACTGAATTTACCCTATGTAGTTCCCTTTCTCCTGCAGTGACTTTCCTCCCAGCTCAGACAGCCCTATAAAAGCTGTAGGCACATGCAGGCTCCACTCAAGCTCTTTGAACACCTTAGAGATCTTAGCAAAGCAAAGGCCTTTAACAAGTCCTGGGACTGAGTGGAAAATTCACTTGCAGGAAGCAGAGTATTCCTGAAAGACAGGGTATCACTGGTAGCCATTACCTTTGAAACTACAACGCCCATATTTGCTGCTATTTGCTAAATAGTAATAAAGCAGTACAGAGAAAAATGTGTCCAATTCAGATGTTAAACATTAACAGAAAACAATAGGAGTATTTTTAATGACAGTGTATTTTACTTGTCTAGCTTTCCTTGCAGAACAGCCTAAAGTAACAGTTAAAATAATAAGTTAGATTTTTCTGAATTAAGATTCACTATACACATAATATTGAGTCTTCCTAGGTAACTAGGAATTTCTTCACATGAAAAAACTGCATAAAACACCTGTGGTATACACCTTCATCTTCTTTAATAACAAGAATAATAATCTAGATCTTTAATTCTATATTTTTCTTGTCAATAAAGTCCAAGCTATGCAATTAATTTACCATATGTTATTAATTCTTGGTTGCCAAGGATAACAGGACTTCCAAACCCAGTCCTATGATAAGTTATTTTGAAACTCAACATTGCTATCTCAGATGCTGTAGAAAATTTTGATCATTTGAATCCAATTTCAGCTATGCTAATTATCATGGATTGCTTTCAGTAACATGAATATCGTTACTCTTTATACTATTTATTCTCTCATGTTTTCTATGTATTCTCTAGTGTTTATAGAACAGCATGGGGTAGTGGTTTCAGAGGGCTGTGATTTTGTATTAAGTGTGTATCTTTCAGAACATGTAAACATAAAAGCTTCTAAATATCAAATATACAATGAAATTAAAACATTTTTTTGTCTTGTTGGACTTTTCTCAAAATAAATTAGGTTAATTTGCCAGCAGGATGGACACCGCTGATAGTGCTTTAGTTCTGTCAGGCTGACAGACAGCTACTTTGTGGCTGTATGGTAGTTTACATTGCAAAAGAAAGCACTGTGTTGTGTGCAATTACTATAATTTGGTGATTGCTTTTTTGAAACTACATTTTAATACTTAAGCTCCTCCTGCTGGCACATCCACAAAATGACATTAAGGTCAGCCCAACGCAGAAGTCACTCTTCCCTTGTGGAAGAAAAATACCATTAAAAGAAAAAAGTGCAAAAGATGCAAAATGAATTCCCCTAAAAGGAAGAAATATGAACTAATATCCATCTGTCTTCATAAGAATGGCTGAGATAGTTAGATCATTTTAGGATGGCTGCATGATCACTGATTTATGTAAATAAATAAATAAAAATCACAAGTAATTCTGCTAATTTAAATGATACTACTCCTAAACTAGATTTATCTAATAATCAAATTAGAGCTAATTTGTCTTAAATGTCTAAGCTAATTTTTATCATTACAATCCAAACTCTAAGATAAATCACTGTGTTACACAGATTTACAGAAAGCAGTTTATAACCAAGGAATTATATCTTCATGCATCCAGCACAAAAAGACAAACAAGAGCTGAAACAATTTCAGCTGTTATTGCTTGTTGGCCTGATCCATTTGCATGGAAATGGAGGTTGTATGATGACAAAAGGTTTAAAGTATTTAGAGAGAGAATTCATACATTAGTCAAGTATATATCTGAAGTTCCTTTCCTTCCTCCCTACTTCAAAAACTCATGCCATCTAACTTACTTATTTTAGCTCTAGCTTTTTGCTCTGCAATTAAAACCAAACTTTCAAAGAATACCCAGAAAGTATAACAACTAAACTTGGGAAAAGAATGAACAACCCCCCTCAAAACCAATGGTAATAAAGGAGGAGGGGAAGATTATTCTTCCACCTCTTCTGTCTATTGTTACCAGATTTAACAATTCTAGCTCTGGCCTTGAGGTCAAATGATACTTATAGAGTCTCTGGCATTAAATGAGACACTTTTGTCCAGAGACACTGCTGGACAGTTCGGCAGGTCAGATATTCTATGAACTCTTGGGCAGAACTATGAGCACCTTATGGCAATCCTACCAGTTCTTCTGGCAAATGCACATGAAGATGAAATTGGAACACTTGTTCTCAATCTATTTTTAACAATTTGCATTTTGGACTGAGGAAGAACCTACATGCAATGTCTTCAAATCCACTTTCTCATTTGTCTCATTCAGTGAAAGCAGTCTTTCAGTTAGTATTTTTGGGCATGATTTAGGGTTCACCCATAGCTGACAGTTTTATTCAGACTAAAATACAAATTTAAAATATGTAAATCTAAACCAGAATGTAGTTATTTTAGAATAACTGTTCCAGAACAGCTACCCCCAGTCCCTGTGATAAGCACTTACTCTTCAAGTCTACATCTGATATCTGAGCTACACCACTTCAGTTTTAACATAATATTCTCCTTTTTATTCTATTACCTTCTTAGCCACTGAGGTCCTAACAGGGTTTAATTTTCCAGACTGAGTCTGGCAGGCATCTGGACACTTGCCAGGCATGAACCTGTTCAGCAGTGGAATGCTCAAGCACTAGAGGCTCCAGTTCTCTGCATTCTCACCTTGTCCCAGTCTGAAGAGAAAAGCATCCTGCTGAGAATCAATTTCTTCTTCCCACCAGGTCACTGTTTAGCTTTTAAGCATTCATGATTGATCTGCTCAGCGTTTGTTTGGCTACCAATTCAGATGCATTGATTTTGTCTAGGTGTCAAGTTCTGCCTGAGGTGCATCTATAGAAAACAGCTTAAAATAACTAGTCTTTTTAATCAGCTTCTGGTTTCTTCATACCCTTCATTCATTGGCTCTCCATGTATCAAAATGTAAAGCATGCTTTGTGTGCTTTTCTTTACATGCACCTGGAACCGCAGCATTCTTTTAAATGACATCATGAACATTTACATAAAGAAATTTATTTCTCATCTCCTTTTCTACTCTTCAGAATAAAATTAGAGAGAGAAGTAAAAATAAAGTAACATGCCTGAAATTGGAAATACTTTCAGTCTGAATAACAGTCTGAAATTGCAATAGAATATAGAAGCAATAAGCACATCCGGGTAGTGTAGAAAAGCTTAGGATCAGGTTGTTCACGTATCTCGCATGGAAATGCATCTCTGGAGACACTCATGATCCTAGCTTTGCCTGAGTTGTGTTAAACAGCTCATGAAAAAAAAAAAAAAAACATCAGCAGGCAGATAAATTTGATGACTTTTTGTTGACAGTTTCTTGTGTGATTCATATTTTCATTTGTCATGATAATCGAATTGCTGGTTAAAATCCCAATACTTAATGTGGTAAACTTGATTCAGTCAGCAGGCCTCCTCAAAAAGGTAATATTAAACAAGGCTTATACTATATGATGAGGTCCTTATTAAAAAAGTGTAATTCTGATCTGCCAGTACACACTTTAGCACCTTCTTCTGCCAACTACAATCATCTCTAACAGTTGCTTAGTGGCACTATTAACTAAGACTCTGACTTCATCAAATCATTTTGTATACTTTAGTAACTCCTGTTACTCTGGCTAATATATTTGTTTCCAGTTGCTGAAGTGTAAAAATAATTGGAGCCACATTCCTATCTTCATTTCCAATTATACAGAAAGGAAATACAACTATTAATGAGAAGCAGTGATCTTCATCTATTAATACAAATGACTGGGCTGGGAAGTTTAAATAGTCAACTGTTTATAGAAGAAATAGAACAACATGGGTAAGATAATCCCTCTATAGTGTAATTTGGCATTAAAATTCCTGAAGACACTCTATTAGAGCAAAGTTGTCAAGTTAAAACAATTATTAAAACAATTCCCTTCAAGATTAGAACTGAATTGACCAAGAAATGAAGAACATTTATTCTAATATTCTATTCATCTGCTTTATTAAAATGCAACTCCTTCTACTTCAAAATACACACTTCTACAACACAGTATTCATAGTATATTCAATCTCTTCTTGCTGTGAAATAATTTCCAACTCGTAATCATGCTTAAATTTGTTATAATCAAAATGATCCTAACTTGAATGTTCTCATGCT